ACATCCTTGCCAACATTTATTGTCACTTGTATTCTTGATAATTGCCATTCTGACTGGAGTGAGATGAAATCTCAGTGTAGTTGTAATTTGCATTTCTCCAGTTGCTAGTGATGTTGAAACATTTCTTCATATATTTGTTGACCATTCATATTTCCTCTGTGAAATATCTGTTCAGTTCCTTTGCCCATTTATTGATTGGGTTTTTTGTTTGTTTGAAAACTGGTACCTGATGTGAGAAATGTATCTAGGTCATCCCTGAATTATAGAACTGCTTGCAGCTCTAAACCCTCACCATGTCGCTTTAGGGTCCCTGCCTGTGCTCTGCTGTTCTGGTTCCGTAGGCTGCCCTGCCCTTCCACTTCTTCTTTACCTGCTGACACATTCAAGACCTACACCTTCTCCCAGATGCCCCTACTTCAGTGCTTCCTTGAATTCAGGCCATTTTCTGAGCTTCCATTGCTCTTACCACGTGGGTCTGCTGTGTTTGAGGGGCCTTTCTCTCTCTCTCCATGGTCAGGTACTACTTCCATCAGCTGTTTATAAGGTTGGGCATCCAAATATATAAAGGTTGTTGAACTTCAATGAATAAAGTCTGAGCCCCTTTTGACACTGCTGGTAGCTAGACCCTAGGAGAACTTAACCATGAGTGTCAGTCCAAAGGGCTGGTTCCCTGGGAGATGCCTCAGCATGGAACAGTCATGTCCCCAGCTTATGCTTAGGGGGAAAAGAAAAAAAAAAACCTCCATGCTAGATCATTAGAACTTATCAAGGAGCACAAGTCAGCCCCCCTAGTCTGCCCCACTGCCTTGAGCTGAGTGGAGGCAAAGATCTGGGGTGGGAGGAAGAGGAAACTCTTTACTCCAGTTTTCCACATGCTGGGGCCTTCTTGGAATATCATATCATCCCCCAACTGTCTGGCAGTCTCCCCTCACCCTTCAGGCACAAATGGCTTTCCCACACTGGTTTTGGTCCACCCACCCCATTTGGAACCCACAGTTTTCATAGCAGCGTTTTTCTAAAAGGCACAAACCTTGTTTAAGGCCTCTCTGTGGGTTTTCCTGCTCCTGGCAAGAGCTGAACAGTGCATAGGGCTCTCGAGAGAGGGTTTAGATGGGAGCGAAAGCCTTCTTCACCCAAGGGGAGTAGAAACCAGCTGGAGCACTAGCAGACAGGTCCCGGCTGCATTCTTCCCCTCTGTAAAATGAGAGTTGAAGAAACTCCTCTTTCCCTCTTATGATTCCAGAAAGACCAAGAATCATTTCATTTAGTCAGCAAACATTAAAACCGTGTTGGGCTAGTCTCAGGGGTCCCTCAGGAATCCACTTAGAATTATCATAAGGAGGAAAGAGATGTATAAAATACCAAAGCTAGTGACTGCTGCCATTGCTACAACTATGACTTCATTATTTTTACTCTTACTGTTACTTCATTCTTCACAGCTTATAAAATGCTTTCATAACCATTAACTCATTTCATCTTCATATTGGGGTGGCACAGAGACATACCTGTTTCCATTTTATAGATGAAGAAACTGAGGCTTTAAAAGAATGAGTGTTTTATTCAGCCATTCAACTAGTAAATGACAGAGACAGGACTTTGAGCTAATTCCTGTAACTCCTGCCCCCTCCACCATACCAGTCTATAAATGAGCATGTACCAGAGAGTGCAGACCCAGGAATTAGTGGGGTAGATGTGCTGTTGTGAAATGAATTGTAAAGAGTTGTTGCAGGTGAGTTTTCAGATGATCCAGTAGTGACAGATGTGGCCAGGAGAAGGCACCTGGAAAGGGACAGGACACCAGCAAAGCTGGCACCAGCCCAGCATATGGGAGGCAGAGGATCCTGGTTGGGGCTGGTCAGGGAAGGGGGCTGGGCTGCCCATGCGGAGGCCCTGATACCATCTGAAGTCTAAGAACAGTGGTGAGGCCAAGGACAGGGGCTCCTGAGGCCATGTGTCAAATGGCTGAGTGAAGCAGACAGGAAGATTACAGAGGGAGCTTCTTCCAGGTGAGACAAGGATGTGAGGAGAGCAGCAGAGAGCCAGGGATAGCTGCCCGCCTTCCCTGCGCTCCTGAAGCACCAGTTTAGGCTCGAGAGTCAACCAGGGGCAGCCTAGAGTCTGCACTTATTTACCTGCGTAACCTCAAGCAGGTTTCCTAACTTCTTTGTCCATATTTTCTCATCTATAAAACAGGAATCCAGTTTCCTGCCCTATTTGCCTTATATTCTCATAATGGGACTGATATGAAATTACTTCTACAGAGGATCTTTACAGACTGTAAAGTGATGGCGGAGTTAGTTGCACATTGCTGGTCCATCATGAGTCCAGCAGCACTTAACAGCCACAGGCACATGGGCCCATCCAGATCTTTGGTCTATTCCAGCCTCTGCTCAGGCCTGATGGGACCCTCTGGGCTCCCCAGCTTTGGTCCCCAGCCACCCTGCCCACCGTACACCCTGGAGCTCACCTTCCCCAGTCCTTCCTAGCTGCTTCCATTTTTCATTCTGTCGGACTCCATCTGCTTGGCCGTTTTTCTCTTCAGATATTATTAGAAATATCCAGAGTTGTAATTGTTTAATGGTTGGCATTTCACCTGTTTCATGGGGGGCCCAGATCAAGCCCACCCCAGACTCATGCCCTGGGTCTGGCAGAATTGACCAGGGACAGCTGTGCAGTGGAGTCTGTATGGCATTATAAAGAGCTCTCTCCCAGGTGCATTATTAGAAAAGAAGGGGAAAAAGATGGCCCCAGGCATAATTCAATTCCACATTCTCCATGGTGTGTGTTATACTGCACAGCTCAGCAGTGTGCAGCTCTGGATGGGCTGGGGGTGGGGGGGAGCCAAGATCAGAACCTCATGTATGATAAACTGGGGAACCCCATCCCCCCCAGGTCACCTGTTTGAGCCATGCCTGCCTCACTTGATGCCCCATCAAGCCTGAACCGAGTTCATACTCAGCCTCTTCCCAACCTAGATTCTCAATTTAGCCAAATTTTCACCTCCTTTCAGGTGAAACCTCTCACTCCTGCCCCAACACATATGCACACATGTTCACACATAGTATTCATGAAAGTCTAGGTTTTGCCATTTTAATACCTCTACTACCTCCAGATACCCTCACCCCCAGCTCCCTGTTTCTGCCGGGACACCAGGGACTCCCCTTCAACCAGACTTGAACTTCCCTGCTTCATCCCTAGTGTTCAGGTACCTGCGAGGTCTGTGAGTTCTACTTAGAGAAGATCTGGATCCTAGCCTCAAGAGAGGTGGACTGAGTGTTCTAAGTTCTTTCAGGGTTCTCAGAGAGCATCTCCAGGGCAGGCAAAATTGACTTGTCCAACATCTATGAAGTTGCAGTTTTCACTTGTTTCTACTGAGACCAGAGTGAAGAGAGAGTGTGCTTTAGGTGGCAACATTAAAGACAGAGGTGAGTGCTGGGAATGTGGCTCAGTGGTAGTGCACTTGCCTGGCATGCATGAAGCTCTGTATTTGATTCCCAGCACCACAGGGGGAAAAAAAAATGAGGAAGACCACAGCGTGGGGTAAACTCCTAAGACAGGTAGTCCAGACCCTCATAACCTGATTCCCCGCACTGCTCCTCATGTTCATTCCCATCTCTCCACCTCTGTCATACTGGCCACTTATCCAAACCCTGCCAGGCCTCCATAGTCCCACTTCTTCCAAAGAGGCCTCCCTGACATCTGCAGTTGCTTCTTTGAAAGCCGCACAGTATAACTGGTAGGAGCTTGGCTCCTCAAGACTGGCAGAAGAATCCCTAAGACTGCCAACTCTTTCTTGATTGACTGAGTTTCCAGGCTTTGCCCTCTAACATTTATCCCTTTGCTAATCACCTCCCCTCCCCTCAACACCCTGGAGACCAGACCAGACATGATGTTTCATCTGCAGACAGACCTTGACATTACACAGGGCTCTTCCTGCTCCTGACTGCCATGTTTCCATTAATGCAACCCAAGTTGATATTCACTTTTTAAAGAAACCTTATGTGATTTTTGTTTTGAAAAGATGACAGGTTTAGAGAAAGAAGTACCTCTATGTACTATGTATCTATTGCCTCAGTTTCCTGCTCAGTGTAATGGAGTTAAAAAAATACTTACCCTTCAGGGCATTGGTGTGTGGGTCTTGAGTAAATACATTGGTGGTGAATTTTCCAATTGTGCTTAGCACGCAGCATGTTCAATAAGTGATTCTTGTTATGGTTCTGCCTCGCAGCACTCCCTGCTTACCCTTGAGCAGTGCTTCTGGGCCTGATTCTCCCATTTTGTAGTTGAGCACTTCATTTCCTCACCTTGAATCCATAGCCCTTGATTACATTCTTCTTGCTGAAGAAAAGAGGTCGGGGCTTGCTGTAGCAGAGTTAAACCCCAAGGGAACTTAGTACAGATCTTTCTCACCGGATGCCATGGTTAGTAGGGATGCTGACCAAGTGGCTTACTCCGTCTGCACTCTAAGCTCCACACTACCCTCAATTAGTTCCTGAAAATGCATATGGCTGTTTCCACTTCCTAATCCAGACAGCATACCAAACCTTGGTTTCCCCAAATGGGAAAGAGCCCAGAGCTCACACCCCAAATGGCTAAAACCTGCCGTGGTCTTCTGCCTCTCATGTTTGCATAGGTAAGAAGAGGGGTAGCCAGCGAAAGCTAAAGTTCCTCTCAAATTCTCTTTCACCAATCCCCCACCCCCTTCACCTCCATTCACCATCCACCCGCCTTTCAGTTTCCCTGGCAACGCTGAGTGCTCATCCTGGAAAACTTTATCCGAAATCTGCTCTGGGCAGCTTTCCAAATCCATGCTAACCTGATTAGGTGTCTCTAGGGGCCTTGCCAGCTAATCAGATTAGGCAGCACTAATGGTAGTGAGGACTTTGAGTGGGCGCAGAGCAGTAAAACATATTGTATACTTAGTGATAATTATCCTGCCTTTTGTGTCATTGATTTATCTGCCTCCCTCCCCGTCCCCCGTCTTATGTGTTTGGCCATAGCGATCCGGAGGAAGGAGAATGGCTGGTACGATGAAGAACACCCTCTGGTCTTCCTCTTCTTGGGATCATCTGGAATAGGTAATCAGGAACAAATCAGACATTGGGGAAGGGGAACGGGCGGGGTGGTGGGGAGGGGCTTGGCCCACGCTCGACAGCCCCAGCTGCTGTGGGCCAGGGGTCATGACACCCATCTTGAGTTCAAATCCCAGCTCCAGAAGCAATTGCCTCCAAATTATAGAGCCACCAAAAAGAGGACTCTGAGTTTTTAATCATCTGCCATGTTGTGAACAGCTAGAATCATGACCCCCCCCTGGAAGCTGTGGTATAAGGACTAATTCACCTAGAGGACCAGGCCTCAGGCCTGTTAGCCCTGGCCCAGGTACTTGCATCCCCATAGGCTTCCCTCTGGGAACAGTTGAACCACCTCCACTGCTCAGCACCCAGCTGCATTCAGGACAGCCTAGTTTTAGGGAGCTAAAGAAAGCCCCAGTGAGCAGCACAGTGCTGAGGTCACAGCAGGACTGGTTGCAGTAACATGGGTTAGGTATTTTTCTAGCCAGTTGAGCTGCCTTGTCTGAGGCATTCTTAGCTCCTCACTCTCCACCCTCACAGACCTCCACTCCCACCTCCCACCATTGCCTTGACAGGGCTTTCATGACTTAGTTGTCTCATCTTCACCTCAGACACCTTTATAGACCTTGCTCTCCTCAGATGTAGGAACCCAAAAGGTACCACCCTTCAACCATGATGGTGTGGACCTTTTGTACCACACAATGATTTCCAGTGGCCATTCCCAATGGCCCTTCAGAGCTACCAATTTGGTATTATCATACCTTCCTTTTATCACAAAGAAGGTTGGTGAAGCCAATAAGACGTACTCTTCATCCCCTCCCAGTGGCTTCTTAGCATGTGATTCTGGGGTCTGACTGAACGACAGAACCATAGGAGTTAAGAGAAATGTGGGGCAGAGAGCAAGAAAGCCAGTGCACTCCCAGGAGGGATGAAGTTTGTGCGGGCTTCAGAGGGCAAGTTGGCTCTAGACTAGTCATCCTCCCACTCTTAGGATGCAGCTACAGAGAAATGGCCTCGACACCATCCGCAGAAAAGTCAAAATGCAATTTCATAAGTGACCTGAGGAGAATCTCTGAGCCTCAGTATTCTCATCTATAAAAGACATGCTGTCTAGTCCATGCATTTCCAGTCATTTGGTCCTAACCCAACTCCTCTCGCTTCTTTCTTCCTAGGAAAAACAGAGCTAGCCAAGCAGACAGCCAAATATATGCACAAAGATGCCAAAAAGGTAAGGGCTGGGACTGAGGTATCTTCTACAGACCATAGAGACCTATCAAAAACCTGAGGCTCAGTGGCAGAGCACTTGCCTTGCACATGTGAGGCACTGGGTTTGATCCTCAGCACCACATAAAAATAAACAAACAAAAGAAAGATATTGTACCCATGTATAACTAAAAAATATTTTTTTAAAAATCTGAGGCTCTCTGAATCTAGTAGTAGAATCAAAAAGATGTACCTACCCCCACCCCCCGCAAGAAACAAGCCTCAGCTCTGGCCACCGGTTGTTCCAGGAATTTGGGGAAGTTATCTAACCTCTTTGTGTCTCAGTTTCTTCATCTTTGAAATAAGAATAATAATCCTCGGTCTACCTGACTCTTGGGAAAACCAGGTCTGATTCATCCATCCAACATCGTCAAGTTCCCACATCATGCCAGGTGTTGTGCTGAATGCCCGTAATGCAGTGTTTATTAAGGCACTCTCTCCCCAGGCACTCTGGCTGGGGAGGTGTCCACACAGTCAAGGCTGTGCCACAGGAAGTCTTGGCAGCTGTCCGAGAAAATGGGAATGAGATGATTCCTGTTGCTTCTTTTCATCCTGCATGACCTTTGAAACCTGGTTTCTCTCTCTTTTTTTTTTTATTTTATTTTATTTATTTATTATTTTTATGTGGTGCTGAGGATCCAACCCAGAGCCTCACATGTGCTAGGCAAGCGCTCTACCGCTGAGCCACAACCCCAGTCCCTGAAACCTGGTTTCTTAATGCCTTATGTGTTGGCTGCTTCTAATGTTCCTTCACAAGGCTCAGAGCCATAGATTTTCCACAGGAAAGGGCCATCTTCATCCCCTGTGTGTTTGTACTCAGCTTTCCAAAGCCTACTCAGTTTGACTCTTGTCCATGCTGACAGGAAACACTCTGGAGAAAGCAATCCTTAGAGAGAATGCAAAACAGCTAATGAAAGGTAAACTTCCTACCAGCCTTCCTAGCATGAGGCTGAGGGAGGTCGATCTCCCACACTGGAGGTTGCCTAAGACATGCCTCACCCCATGCACTCCCCACCAAGATGATGAGGACTTGCCTAGATCTTGCCAGCCAAGTGGCTCCCAGAAGCAGAGTCCTGGATTCCTATTCCACTTGTAACCTCCTGAATTCTTGCCACCCTCCAGAGAACCTGGCAGCCACAGAAACAAGGTCGCTCTGGCTATGTCCTCCTGAGCCCCCTTCTTCCTAAGAACTGGCAGAAGGCTTTTCACTGGCCGAGCAGCTATGCTCTGCCTCAGCGAAACCCAGAGCAGACCCACTTGACATGCAGGCAGGCAAGAAGCAGCACATGGCATGCTAATATGCTCAACCGAAATAGCATTTTTAAGACAATTTATCAGGTTGGCAGCGATTGAAACAATTAGCACTCTGGAAAGGGCCATAAACTAGCAAGACTATTAGGGAAGATGCAGTTACGGGCAGGAACCACCTGATTAGGGATGAAGAATTCTGAGTGGTTTAATTTTAATACTGTCAGAAAGGTTAATATTTAATTACAAATTATAATCTCCTTATCCAAGCTGTCTTAATATGTCTTCATACACAGTGGAAGTAGAAGGAAAGTATCTGCTGACTTGCTGGTGTAGAAAGGAGAAGGGACTTTTTTAAAAATTGATGATGCACATAATTTTTTAGTTGGCACATCAAAATGGGAGACAGATCAGTCCCAGTGCAGGGTGTCCTACAGGTGGGCTGATGGTGTCCTTCTGTACATGTCTCATCCAGAAAGAGAAATAACATCATCATCCGCCCATACTCACCGCAGGAGGCAGCAGGACATGGTAGGCAAACCTCTAGAGCCAGCCATTCTTTGGCTCAAGTTCCAGATCTCAGTCTCGTGCCCTCCATGATGTTTCAGCTCTCTTGCTTCAGGGTCAGGCTGTCCAGTCCTGTGTCTGAAGCAGTTGTGATCATCAAGGGAGATGATACAAATCATAGCTAGCTCAGCGCTGGCTGCTCCCTTGACTTGTATGTGTGCCTCACTCCCTTCTCACATAGTACTCGGCTACCACTGTCTTATTTGATCCTGTGAGGGACCTAGCACAGACACCAACTTAGACCTGCTTTTCAGATAAGAAAGCAGACCCTATAGCATCAAGAGACTTGTCTAAGGTCACTTGTCAGGGGAATCTAGTCTTTAACTCTTCTCTCAACACCATTGTTCTCAGCTGCTCTGGGAGGCTAGTTTGTAAGCTTATCAATTTGTCGCCATTTCACATAGGGAGATGAGAGGCATGAGAAGCCCAATAAAATCATCCATTTTATTTTTAACTCATAGGTGATGAATTACACTCCTACTCCATGCATTTCCAGTCATTTAGTCCTAACCCAACTCCTCTCGCTTCTTTCTTCCTAGGAAAAACAGAGCTAACCAAGCCCTGTGACCAACTCATTGCAGAATATGTTCAACAGAAATTTTCTGGCCATGTGATAGGCATGTTTGAAGCCTACCCACAAAATCCAAGCGAGTCCTAGGCTATAAGCTACCTTCTAACTAGTATACCTGAGGTTTCATGTGGAGCAATATACACAAAGTCTCAGATTCATGGCAGACATGGTGGCACATACCTGTAATCCCAGAGGCCAGCCTGAGCAATTTAGCAAGACCTTGTCCCAAAATTAAAAAATAAAAAGGACTGGAGGGTGTTAACTCAGTGGTAGAACACTTGCCTAGCCCTGGGTTCAATCCTCAGTATCACAGGAAAAAAAAAAAAAAGGAAAAACAGAATCCAGTTCAGAGCCTATTTGTAAACAGGGTCTCACCAAGATGACTCATGAAATAAAATAGGCACTGGCCTGGGAGGCTAGTGGCTTAGATCCCAGTTGTGGCTCTCTGATCCTTAGTTTCTTCATTTGTGAAGGGACACTAATACCTCTGGATCCTGCTACCTAACAAGATGGTTTTTGCATTTACACTTTTTTTTTTTAAGCTTATGTACTCACAGGTACCCACACAAAGCAGGAAGCAGTGTTGTGTCTATCTATCTATTTATTTATTTATTTATTTATGGTGTTAAGGATCAAACCCAGGGCTTCGTGCATGCCAGGCAGACACACTACTACTGAGCCACATCCCCAGCCATATACAATTTTTTTAATCAGATCTATTTATGAGCCTTTTTTCTCAGCCTCTAGTGTTCCTTTCACATAGAGCAGCTTTGTTGACTTTAATTACTAGAGTTCATAATCCTTGAGAAGGACCCTAATGGTGTTCTATGATATCATCATGAGGTAGGATGACAGAGCCCAACAATTGCAGTTACTTGGCAGTCTGATGAAAGGCATAGGAGCAAGCATTTGAGTCTAACCACCTGGGTTTGAATCCCAGCTCTACCCTATGATGTATATATCAGTTTTCTCATTTGTAAAATTAGTTCAATGATGGTGTCCATCCCATTGGATTATAATGAAGGTTAAATGAGATGCTGAAGTAAAATGTTAGACACCATTCTTAACACATAATAAGCAATTGATGTATGTTGGATGCTGCTTTAATTGCTCTTGCCTTGCTTTGTAGGTAATACCAAGCTAAGATCTTAGGAAACTAAAGTGATTCCAGCCAAGAAAACTAACCCCAAAGACTTGTTCAAAGTTGCTTAACAAATCATTAGAAAGAGGGGCTGGGGTTGTGGCTCAACGGTAAAGCGCTCACCTCGCATATGTGAGGTCCTGGGTTTGATCTTCAGCACCACATAAAAATAAATAAATAAATAAAGGTATTGTGTCCAACTACAACTAAAAAAAAAATCATTAGAAAGAACTAGGGTGGAAAGCCAGGTTACTTGACGTTAAGTGAGCACTAGAGTCTATACTCCCTGTAGCCTAGGACATTGATGTCTGAGCACAAAGCTCAAAATCCTTCAAGAGCCCAGCTGGTTGGCAGCGGGGATGATACGAGACAGTAGAGCATAATGGTTTAGAGCACAGAGATGGAGCTGGGTGGCCAAGCTTGTGTGACCTTGGGCAAGTTAATCTAATCTGTAATTTCGTTTCTCATCTGTAAAGTGGGGATGATGAGAGCACTTAACCTCACAGACTCATACACATTCTAAGCCCTTCATAGCTTGCTTAGGACATTGCCAGGCACAGGTAAGCACCAGTGAAAGCCAGCTATTACATGTCAGAGACAACTTCGTGACTTCCAGCCATTGCTCCCCCTGGGCAGCACGCCCAGCTTTCCTGTGACCATCCTCCATCCCTCCCAAAGCCTGCGTGTCGCAGCAGGCAGGGCTACCAGGGGCCCTCTGGAAATGCTTGCTGGCTCATGTCCTGTGCACTGATAGCAGTGCCTACCCCACATGACCTTAACCTCTCTACACCCTTCCCGCCTCTTGACTTATTTCCACCCAGGGCTTCATCAGGTTGGACATGTCTGAGTTCCAGGAGCGACATGAGGTGAGTCTCTTCAGAAATGATAGTCTATGATGTGGGGGTCCTGTTGACATGACTGTTCTGGTGTTTTTATGTGACTTGTCATTTGGGTCTTTGGGCCTGACATAATTCCAGCAGCCCTGGGAATTGGGAGAGGGGTGTACAAATGGGGGGAAAAATAGCCCACCAACCTTTTGAGACAGGCATTTGCTCGTTCATAAAGCCAACTTTCCATGCTGGCCCCATATTGCAGACAAAAGGCACAGAAAGGCCTTCCTAACATATGTTCCTCCTTCTACCAGGTGGCCAAGTTTATTGGGTCCCCACCAGGTTATATTGGCCATGAGGAGGGCGGCCAGTTGACCAAGAAGTTAAAGCAGTGCCCCAATGCTGTGGTGCTCTTTGATGAGGTGGACAAGGCCCATCCAGATGTGCTCACCATCATGCTGCAGCTGTTTGATGAGGTGAAAGTCAGCCTGGGCAGGATGGAGTTGTGGGGACATCTGGAGGTATCGGGGGCTGTGAACAGCAGGAATCCAGGACCCAGAGGCTGTCTGATCCTTATTCAATGCTCCTCCTTGGATATATTTAGTCACTTGGCAGATGAGGCTCTCTGGACAGGACTCAAAGCAGGCCACTCAGGGAAGACCAGCACTGACCCATAGTTGACAATTTCATGGCTGCCCAGCCTGTCCTCTAGAGGGACAGTAGGACAGAGGTTCCATTGGGGGAGCACTGAACTTTTGTTTCCCCTCTGCTCCTGACTGACTTTGCAGCTTTGGCAGTTCACTGCCCATCTCTAGTCATCAGGGACTTCATGTGACAAGCAAGGAGGCTGAATCAATAAACTCCCGAGAACCATCGTGGCTCTAGCAGCTCTATGCCTCTGTGTACAGTATTTCGTCTGCACCAGTGCTTTAAATCACTCAACATTGTTACTGCTGATGAGATGTTAATACTATGGCTTTTAGAATCCTTCAGGGGAGCTCCAGGCCCCTGACAAAACTGCAGTACCCCACTAGGTGGGGTGAACTCTGAATGGGAAAAGAACATGCTTTTATGCAGTATGTTTTATGTGCTAGATTTCTGCTTACGTCTTAGCAGACATTAGTGCTAATCATAACAATAGCCAGGGCAAGGCAGAAATTATCTGATTTTTTTTTAATTCAGAGGAAGAAACTGAGGTTCCAAAAGGTTATAAATGATGTATACAAGGACACAGAGCAAGTGTATGAGGATTCAAGTTTGGACTGCAGATATATCTGGCCCCAGAGCCCTAGTCCTTTGTACCTTCTTACCAGTGAGCCAAGGGAAGGGTCGGTCTTGGTCTTGGGAGAGAATGGCCTTCACCTTCTCCAAGGGGCCTTGCCCTGCCAGGAGGACATGAGGAGCCAAGGGCTGAACTGGGGCTGAGCTTTCATCTCCACACAGGGGCAATATTAGCCAGCACCAGGTGCCCTAGGAAATGTTTTGCTTCTCATGTCACATAGGTGTAGGGAAGAACTTCCCCAAACAATACATAAGGTACACCAAGCCAGGAGGACTAAATCTGTCCCCAGCTGCCACTGCCTTCTCCACCTGGCCCAGCATCCTTCCCCTGCCCCATATTTGCTTCCATCTTCCCAACTACTCAGCTGATCTCCTGCTGTGAAAGAGTCCACCAGTTCTCAGAGAATAGAGGGACAGTGAGGCCTCCCACTCTGTTCCAGCCTCTTGGTGAGATTCAGGTCACAGCTGTGGCCCACACCCAGCCTTACCCTCTGGAGGAGTCTGCCTAGGAGATGTGGTGATATTCCGCATCCTTGCCCTTTACATGCCATGCACCCTTGTAAGAAATACACTGTAGCAACTCATCTAACCCTCCAAACCACCCTCTGAAAGAAGGCAGCTACTGCTGCCTCCATTTAATAGACATGAGCACTAAATTTAAGCTAGAGTAAGTAATTTATCTGTAGTTACATAGCTGGAAGGGGGAATTAAGGATTGGAACCCAGGTGGTCCCATTCTAGAATAGCTTAAGTAATTGACGTGCAGCTACGGCAAAGGGGGGTATTCTGCAGGGAAGCACACAAAGGAGGGAAGACCCCCACTCAGGAAGGTGAGCATGGCAGGGGACACAGACAAAATACCCTGCCTTGTGTTATGAATGAGTGGGGCAGACAGGCAGCCAGAGGGCAGTTCAGTCTGCTGGGGCAGGCATCATACTAGGGTCTAATAGCAAGTTGTAAAGATAGTAAATCCAGCCTGGAATTGTGAGGGAAGTCCCCAGTCCTCACTTAGCTCAGTTCTTCTAAACCTGGGACCAGAAAAGCAAGAATCTTACTGCTGTCATCAAAATACCACACAGGACTAATGCTGGGTCACTTCTAGGTTACCTCAGAACCTATAGCCCAGGGCAGAACTCCCAGGAAGATACCAGTCCCCAGGGAACCCATCTCCTCCTCCTCCCTTTAAGGATTCATGAGACAGTAGAAAAGCAGCTCCATAACCCTGCGGGGACCATTTGAGCCTCACCCAGAATATGCACATTCTGGTTGCTGGTGGGATGAGGACAGCTCCCGCTTTAGGACACATCGTTATTGCCAAGGAAACAGGAGAGAGATGAGCACTGAAAGTCACCCTTTGGGTCAGTTGTGCACTGCACCTGCTCCCCTTGCCCACCTGGGACCCATCCTCAGGCCCAGTTATGAGCACAGCTTTGATCTCTTAGAATGAAATTGCTGCTAGGTTATTGCTCTGGCCAGGACTGAGTGTGAACTCAGTCCTCAGGGATGAGCTCTGCGAGGTAAGTGTGGAACACACAGTGCCTTATACACATGCTTAGGCACATCACACCCTAACCCAGATTTGCCCCAATCCGGAATTAACCCCAGCAGCAATTAGAACCCATGAGCAGGAGTCAGATTGAAGAGCTAGTGGCAAAATCTCAAGACATCCCCTTCCACCAGAGTGACTAGCTCCAGGACCTGCAGCACCATGCCTCTTCTAAATAGATCCCTTTGGAACTTTGAGGCCTAGACCAGTAAAGCAAGTCTGGAAAGCACACCCAGCACTCATACGTCACTCAGCTAATGCACCGTGTCTCCTCTTGTCTCTAAGGAGGGCTAGGCTTGCCAGGCATGGGCTTTAGACTTGCCAGGCTGGCCATGCATCAGGCCCACCCTGACAAGGAAGGGGAAAGCATGATGAGGGTGGTGACTGGCTGGAGCTGGGGCAGGGCCCAGCATCCCTGGCTCAGGCAGGAGCCACCAGTCGGAGCTCAGTGATCTATTCCCTGAGGCTTGTTTCCCAGGTACTCCCAGGCAGGTGTCCTCTCCTTGCACCTATCCCAGTGCTCTCAGTGAGGACCAAAGGATGCAAACTGAATTTGGTCTAATTTTGAAAAAATTGTGTTGAGGAAAAGAAAATGACACAAGGCTTCATTTATCCAGCACTATTGTAATGCACTCTGTAGCCTGGTGCAAAGGGAAGGGCATAGCTCTGGAGTCACACAGTTCAAGACTCCCCTGTACTGTATTCTGGCTTTGAGACCTACCTGTGAGAAAAAATTACTTAACCTCTCTGAGCTTCAGTTTCTTTTCAGAGGTCATAACTCACCTTCCTCCAAGGATGGTTATGAGGATTTAGGGATTCAACAGGCAGGTGTTGAACAGCTACCCTGTGCCCAGCAATGTCCTGGGACACAGAGGTGTTCCCAGCCTCTGCCCTGAAGGAGCAAATTTCTAATAGATGATAAAATAGTGCACTGAAAGCACCAAGAAGAGCACCTGTGACAACAGAAGTGCCCTGTTGGTGCTCACCCTTGGCACTCAATTGCTTTCCCTCAGCCAGTTCCTGATCATCACTGTCAGCACTGTCCAGAGCTATTGTACAGTGATGCCCTTGAGCTTTGCTGAATGGGCAGGGCTCTGTCACCTTGACCTGATTGGTTACAGAACCATGTTCTTGGATAGTTCTTCTAGTTCTTCATCTTCTCTCTGCCATTTGCTCTCTTTTCTTGGTGCATCTGTCTCAGTACAGATGCCGTCTTCTCTGTCACTTCTTGAAAGTGCTAAAATTCCAAAGGAATGTCCCAAGGTGGTTAAAGTAGAAACCTAATTTGCTTTCCCTCTGTTGGGATGGAGGATGGCTCCAAAGACATAGCAATTAATTTATTATACATCATCTGCTCTGGCCACATGCACAGCATGGTGTACTGAGGTGCTTTCACCAACATGACCACATCTAGTCCTCACAGTCACCCTCTTAAGATTCCCACCCCTGAACTCCTGCAGTGACCTGGGCTTTCCTTCTTGTTATGATTGTTCATTTCATGGGTCTCGGCTTCTCTAGACAGGGAGCTTGCTAAAGTCGCAGTGAGTCCCCAGTACCCAACAGAGCCTGCCCAGAGTGGGATTCTGATAATGAGATGGGTGGGGAATCAGACTGACTTCTGGATGCCAAGGCTAGTTGGGCACCCTGAGATGTCTATAAGCAGGTGCTATCTTGCCTAGAGGTGCTCTCAGAGGAGCAGATGCTGCCCGAGGCAGTGAGCACTGTTACCAGGCTGTGAGTCCAGTGCCCAGAGAACCCGGAGTGGGGAGCAGCTGACCTTCAGGGTGGGAGGCAGCAACACAGGGTTCTGGGGGAGTGTCCTGGAGAACAAGAGTACTGAGGGCACTAAAGCCTGTCCGGGCTTGCAGCTCCCTCACCATACCATCCCCATTCCTTCCCAGGGCCGACTGACAGATGGGAAGGGGAAGACCATTGACTGCAAGGATGCCATCTTCATCATGACCTCCAATGTGGCCAGTGACGAGATCGCACAGCACGCATTGCAGCTGAGGCAGGAAGCTTTGGAGATGAGCCGGAACCGCATCGCTGAAAACCTTGGTATGGTGTATAACCTGAGCTGTATGGGCAAGTAACCTGAGCACCGGCACTTCTGGGACAAGGGTAGGATTGAGGTCCTAGTAGGCAGCAGACACAAGGCACCATGTCAGAGAGTAGAGGGGGACAGACAAAGAGTGCCCCACTCAGGAAAGCCCCAAATCTTGCCAGATGTGGTAGCACACACAACCTAGCTACTTGGAAGGCTGAGGCAGGAGGAGCACAAGTTTGAGACCAGCTTTAGCAGCTGAGTGAGATCCTGTCTCAAAAAATAAAAAGAGCTGGGGATATGGCTCAGTGGTAGAGTACTTCTGGGTTCAGTCTCCAGTACCAAAAGAAAAAAGGAAGAAAGAAAGCCCCAAATCTCCTGGGTGATAGGAAGGCTCCAGGCAGAGGATTGGACAGAGGCAGCCAGGGTGAGGGACAGAAGGGAGCCAGAGTCTCAAACTCACCAGTTAAGACCCTTAGGAACAGTAAGTCAGAAGCCACACAGAAGTGGGCACAGCCTTTTCAGCCAGTACAGCTCCCCGCATTAGAGGGTCGTAGAGCCCTCAGCAAGCAAGAGGCTCTGCCTCTCACCTTTCCATTCAGGATAAGTCCTGTTGCCACTTTCTTCAGAGTCAGAACTCAAGCCTTGACCCTGATTTCTGTCCTTCCCCATCACCTGCAACTCCCACTTGAGAACCCTGGAGCTTTATAACACTCAAGAGCTAGAAGGGCCTCAGAAAGTACCTCGGGAGGTGAGGAGACCATACCAAGGGCCAGCGAGCCTTAGTGACCAAGATCTCATAGGTATAGCCCCCAAAGTTCCTTGAGTGTGGGAAGTAAGCAGTTTATGATTCTGTGTCTGCAGGAGACGTCCAGATGAGTGACAAGATCACCATCTCAAAGAACTTTAAGGAGAATGTGATTCGCCCCATCCTGAAAGTAAGAGTGTTTCTTGGAGCTGGAGCCTGGGGCTGGGGGAGCAGGGCCTTAACCATAACAAATAGACGGAAGCCACTATGTTTCCCAGTGGGGTCCAGAAATTTTCCTGTGCCTGCCTTCCCAGGCCACTGAGTTCATACTGCCCCTACCCTGGCCCTACAGGCTCACTTCCGGAGAGATGAGTTTCTTGGACGGATCAATGAGATCGTGTACTTCCTTCCCTTCTGCCACTCAGAGCTTATCCAGCTAGTCAACAAGGAACTGAACTTCTGGGCCAAGAGAGTAAGAGGGGACTGCCCATGGGTGGGGAAGGGACATCTGTCCACTGGAACTCTGGAGGAAACAATCCCTCCCCCTGAAGGTGGAACACTTGGTGTGGGGCCAGTAGCCCTGGGGCATACTGTCTTTCACAGTCCTGGGCCTCAGGCCAGTGTAGTGAGAGATGGAAAGCAAGGGCCACACGCAGACAGGCCTCTCTGATCCATTGCAGGCCAAACAAAGGCACAACATCACACTGCTGTGGGACCGTGAGGTGGCAGACGTGTTGGTTGATGGCTACAACGTGCACTATGGTGCCCGCTCCATCAAACATGAGGTGAGCACAGGAGCCTGAGAGAAGGGAGGCACCTCCACCTCTTCGTCCCCAGTACCCTCCAGACCCAATGCCTGGGCCCCCTGCTGCTGGAGTGGGTGATACCCAGAGCTGATGCCCCTTCAGAACCAAAAATACTGAAACTCCTATCTGGAGGATGGCCAAGCATGAACCCTGCCTGAAGCAGGGGACTGGGAGCCTCAGTAACTGACAGCAGTGTACCTTTAGCACAATCCTGTAGGGTAGATGTTGATACCCCACTTTGCAGATGAGAAAATTGAGGCTCAGAGAAGGTCTCTGACTTGCCCAAGCAAATGGTAGATACCGGCTGCAGGCCACAGACTGGGCACAGTCTGAGACAGTGACAACCACTTCACCTGCCACCACCTGCAGGTAGAGCGCCGTGTGGTGAACCAGCTGGCGGCAGCCTATGAGCAGGACCTGCTGCCCGGGGGCTGTACTCTGCGCATCACTGTGGAGGACTCAGACAAGCAGCTCCTCAAGAGTCCTGATCTGCCCTCACCCCAGACAGAGAAGCGTCCACCCAAGCTGCGACTGGAGATCATCGATAAGGACAGCAAGACCCACAAACTGGACATCCGGGCACCACTCCACCCTGAGAAGGTGTGCTATACAATCTAGCATCCACCTGTACGTGCCCTGAACATCCAATAAAGACCCCTTGCTGTGGCATGGCAACTGACCTAGCCTCCCCTCATGCCTCTCCCTCTCTCTGCCAAGCCTAAGGGCTGTTTACCTCCTTTACAGACCTGGAAGACCCATCCTTTGTCCCAGTCCTGAAGTAGGAATCCTGCCTACCTGCCCTCTGTGGGCCCAAAATCTGCTAAAATGTCTTGAGAAGATACCTCTCTAACCCCTTCAAGGCAAGATGCAAGGGAGGTCCCTCTTTGTCCTTCAGCATGATCCCCATTCCCTGTAGTCACTGGAACTGTATCAGTGTTCCCAAAAGCTCAGAAGTATGGCAGCAAAAAACAGATCTGGCTGGAAGAAGACAAGGACCAGAGCCCCTTGATTCAGAGTTTTCTGATTTCCAACAGTTTCTGTCTTAGGGAGCCATTTTGCACTGTGGCCTGCCATCCTCTGCTGGTACTTGTGCAGCTCAATCCCCAGAATGTCTCCACTGGGAGTGAGAAAAAGTGCAGAGGCCCAGGCACAGATGGTTGCAATTTAGTCTATAGCTCCCTCTTTCCCATGCTTTGAAATTCTAAGGCAGAGACCCATAAAACTTACCCCTTTCCACTGCCATATCACACCCACCGTTCCTCCCTACCCCATGTCCTGGATCAAGCCACACTGCTTTTTTTATCCTTGGGACTAGGCCAGTGGAAGGCACCACTAGGCGACCTGACTCGTTCATTATCCTGCTCTACTCTGGGACTGGACAGGAGTATCCGATGACCATGTAAGTTCCTAGAGCTCTCCTCCAGGAAACCAACAACCTAGACTCTGGGAAGCTGCAGGGGGAGAGAGTCATAAAACCATTCTTAATTACCAAAACCAGGAAATTAATCTTGCTACAGTACTTCTAATTGATCTACAGACATTTGAATTTTGCCAGTTTTCCATGCAGGTGCCCACAGATTCTGCATCACTTAGAGCTGTTGTCCCAGCTAAGTGAGCCTGGAATAAACCTGCAGTTAATTCAGTCTACTGTTAGTCACTGAGCAGATAGACAGTCTGGACACCTTACCCCTCATGGAGGGCATTCTACAGATCTGCCATGTTTCAACCCAGTTTGGCAGAATGCAGCAAGGCCTGATGCATCCCTGGGCACCCCCTGCAGTAGCCACCACTGGTAACCATTCCATTCACCCTCCCCTGCTGCCTGGGGGCTGTACTCTGCACATTACTGTGGAGGACTCAAGACAAGCTGCTCCTCAAGAGCCCTGAACTGCCGGCTTGTAGTGTTAGCTAGTTTCTTTCAGGAAGCAAAAAATGGAGGCAAAAATCAAAGTGCCTTGGGTGATGGGAAAATGACATAGCATGGTCTGAAGCTGTCAGAAACGAGGGCCCAGGCCCCAGCACATGCTCTGGCAGTCACCAGCTAACCCCTTGGAGCCACATCTGCTGCTCCCTACCTCAATGACTGCTATTCTTTTGTTGTTTTTTACTTTTTGTTTTGAAATAATTTTAAACTTAGAGAAAGCTGCAAAAATAGTAGAGTTCTCATGCCTTTTACCATTTCTTCTAATATAAACATCTCATACTACAGTTATCAAAACCAGGAGATTAACATTGCTACAGTATTGCTGATAGGCAGACATTTGAATTTTGAGAATTTTCTCTCAGTGTCCTTTTTCTGTTCCAGGATCCAATCCAGGACATCCCACATGGCATTTTATTGTCATGTTTCCTTCATTTTCACCAACTGTGACAGTTCCTCCATCCTCCTTAGTCTTTGACCTTGACAATTTTGAAGAGTCCTGGCCAGTTCTTTTGTAGAACGTCCTTTGATTTGGGTTTGCCTAATAATTTCACTTGATTTCATTAAGGATCTACATTTTTGGCAAGATGCTCACAGAAACAAGGTTGTACCCACCTAGCAGCAGGTCATATTACCTTTAATTGTAAGGCTAAAGTGGTGTGTGAATTTGCAGGCTGGAGCTATAGCTCAATAGTAGAGCTGCTTGCCCAGCATGCATGAGGGCTTGGGTTAAATTCCCAGCACCACAAAAAAAAAAAAAAAAAAAATTATCATATATAATACACACATATGTGTAATTATAGAGAAAATTATAATTATATAGAAAATTATATACAAGGGGGATATGAATTTCCCCCTTTAAATTAATAAAAATCTTTTGTCCTATTTATCCTTGGAGTTTTGTCTACAGATTTTAACATCCTTCTCAATGGTTCTTGCTTATCACAAATATAAATGTTGTTTTTGCCTAATGATCAATTTTTCTTCATCATCTATATTTATTAATCAGTGTTCTTTTGTAAGGAAGAACCCAATAATTTATGTCAGTATGAGCTAGTAGACACTAGTTTTATTCTGTGGATTATAGTACTAACAGAGCATATGTTGTTGGTCCAGTTGGCCATTTGGCCATTAAGAACTCCTTCAAGTTGTTTCAACATTGCTTCCACATTTTTTGAGCACTTCCTTTCTTTCTGGTACAAAATGTTCCAGGCTCACTCACATTTTCCCTTTCCCAGCCCTGACATTAACCACTTCTCCAAGAAGCTCCCAGTTTCCTTTATTCTTGAATAAACCAGATGGTTACTTAGTACTTACATACCAAGTTCTGGCCGGGCACAGTGGTGCACGCCTATAATTCCAGCGCTCTGGAGACTGAGGCAGGAGGATCACGAGTTCAAAGCCAGCCTCAGCAATTTAGTGAAGCCCTAAGCAATTCAGCAAGACCCTGTCTCTAAACAAAATAATTTAAAAAGGGCTAGGGATATGGCTCAGTGGTTGAGCGCCCCTAGGTTCAATTCCTGGTACCAAAAAAAAAAAAAAAAAGAAATCAAGGTCTGAACAGGGGGTATACATATTACTAGTTGAGTGTCATTGTGTCTATGCCCTCTCAGCAGACACAGCTCAGAAATCTATGTATGTTACCATATGCATACACACATACATCTGAATTTATTTTATCTGTACATCTGTATGTTATTAAAAACCATGAGTTCAAATTGATACCTTCAGTCCAATCCATACTGTAGATTTATGACTGCCATTCTTAAAACTTGCCTATTCTTTTTCCGCTTCTTCCTCTCCTGAGCTGTGTCTTCTTTCTCTCTCTGTGTGTGATGGTGAGACTTCCTTTAGGGGCTCTGTCAGTGACCTTATGCAACATTCCTATTAGATAATCAACTGTAACCAAGAACAGCAAACTTATAATTCAGATTAGATTTAGATAAGTTTTATACCAGAAGAACCCTGAAAGTAGGTGAAGAACTTTTAATTCTCTTCTTCCAGAGAATTTTTGCCAGACCTCCAAGGTCATGTTCCACCCAGATCTTACACTCCATATTACCCTGGGCACTGCTCAGTTCACTTACACCACTTGTTCTGTGTCTTCATCACTAGAATGTGAGCTCCAAAAAGGACAAATAACTGAACTGTCCAGCTTACTAGCCACAGACTCTGGCACAGAGCTAGCACATGACAGAGGCTCCAAGAATATTATGGGTGGCCCTGCAGCAAGAGTAGATCTTCACTGTGTTCCCTAGGATGGAACAGTGTCATTTGTTTGCTCAGCCTCCCAGCAGCTCTGGAAGCCAAGGCAGGAAGATCACAAGTTCAAAGACAACCTCAGCAACTTATCAAGGTCCTAAGCAACTTAGTAAGACCCTGTCTCAAAATAAAATATTAAAAGGGCTGGAGATGTAGCTCAGTAGTTAAGAACCCCTGGGTTGAATCCCTATCCCCCACCCCAAAAAAATGTATAGATACATGCATTGTTCAAAGAGAAAAACTCAAAAGCATGTAGTGATTACTTTAGAAATTTAAGGGAAAAAACATTAAATCTTTTTATTTGTAGATCGACACAATACCTTTATTTTATTTATTTTTATATTGTGCTGAGGATCAAACCCAGTGCCTCACATGTGCTAGGCAAGTGGTCTACCACTGAGCCACAACACCAGCCCCCAAAACATTAAATCTTAAGAGAATAGACAACGAACCAATAAAAACTGAAGTAGAGCCAGACGCAGTGACACCTGCCTGTAATAACAGCAGCTCAGGAGGCTGAGACAGGAGGATTGTGAGTTCAAAGTCAGCCTCAGCAACAGCAAGGCAGTGAGTTGCTAAATAGAGTCTCTAAATAAAACACAAAATAGAGCTGGGGATGTGGCTCAGTGGCCAAGTGCCCCCTGAGTTCATCCCTGTTATAAAAAAAAATGAAGTAGGAAAAAAGAACAAGAAAAGGGATAAATTAACAATTATTTGAAGGCATTGATAAAACCTGAGCCTGCTAAAGAGGAAACAGCCAAAACTGAAAAGACAGGATCAAGAATGATAAATTAGACATAGCTGTATAGCAAGAGAAGAATTAAAAATTTTAAAAGAGCTTTATGGCAATAAATTTGAAATCACAGAGCAGATGGATAATATCCTAGCAAACACCCAAGACATAGTTGGAAGAGACCAATTGATTAGCAAAGAAGTAATTGAGAAGGTGACTAATATTTTATCCTTTGATTGGGTTCTAGACTGGGAATGTAGCTCAGTGATAAAATGCTTGCCTAGCACATGCAAGGCCCTGGGTTTAATAACAGCATTGCCAAAAAAAAAAAAAAAGGGTTAATTAAAATTTTAAATTGAAATGCACATATAGGATAGTGCACAAATTGTGAGAATACAGGTTAATGAGCTTTTGCATAGTAAGTGGGGCTATAATCATCACTCTACCCCAAATACAGATAAATTCTAACTTTTAACTCTATATAACTGCTTTAGACCATGGGAAAAGTTGGAAAAATACTCAACAGTTGATTTTTTAAATCCACACAATTGCAAATTTTATAAAATACCAAAAGAGGCCTAATTTCACCTGTGGCTATAGAACGCAAAAATTCCAAATAAAATCAAGTTAAATGTACACTGTGATCGCATAAAGATTATTTCAGCAATAGGAGGCTCAGTGTCAGGAAATTTACTAATATAAATAATAAGTACATCAAGAACAAATATTTAAATGTCTATAATAAATTAATCTTAGTGTATTA